GCCCCCGGCCCCCGCCCCCCGCGCGCGCGCATCCCCGCCGCCCCGCGCGCCGGGCGCAGGCACGCGGCGCGACAGCACGGGGACGCGGAGCCCGCCGCGACCCGGCCACGCCGCGGGCACACGCGGAAGCACCGCCCCGCGCCGCCGGAGGAAATACAGTAGGCTGGGGCGCAGACCTCCCGCTGGCCCAGACGCGCAGCGGGGACTTGCGGACGCGCACTGACTGCCCGCGGGGCCGCGGAGCCGGGGCGGCGGACGGGACTCACATGCGTAAACACACGGCCTCCCGCGCTCGCCGCGTGGACGGCGGCACAGCACCAGCCGAAGGTGGAAACGTACACAGCGCACCCAGCACGGACCCAAGGTCCCAACACACGACACACAACAGAGACATTTACAGAATATAGGCATAGATACAAGCGGAGACAGTGTGCACAGCATAGACACACAACAGAACATGCGCGAAAGGTAGACGACCAACAGGCATAGACCCACAACTCAGTAACAACACAGACACAGGAGAGAAAGTGCACCAACGACATATCGCACACAACACAACACAAAGATGCAATCGCAAATACATGCCACATATACAAACACAACGTATAAATAATTGGCACACGGTGAAAGACAACATGCAGGGTCCTAGGAATAGCAGACGGAGGCAACGGTCATGGCCCCAGTCAGATGGCGTCCTTTCCCAGGGGAGAAAGGGCAGACTTGTCCCTTCCCAGACTTACTCTCTGTGCGGATGGGGTGGAGAACACTTGGCAAACAACCGCCCACCCCACCCCTCAGTCCTCCTCTGACCTGCTACCATCCCATTCTGCAGACACCCCCGCGAGGCTGGACAGTGTGTGCATCATGGGTGTGGTCAGTGGACATCCCCATCCCAGCCTTCCTTGCTCACTGTCAAGTTGCCCACTCTTGGCCCTTTGCCTCCCAGCCTGGGGGTATGATTTCCCAGCCGGCTGGTTCTGCCTTTAGGATGCGAGGGGCGGAGCCGATGGGAGGAAGGGCTTACCTCTGGGTCTGAAAGGCCAGCTCCACTAATTACTGGCTGTGGGACCCTGAGTTTCCTTATCGAAATAGAGTTGCTGTGAAGATCAGAGTTAATATATGCACAGCCCCTGACACCCAGTGGGTGTGTTGTGATTGTTGTAGTTTCAAGAAATTACATACTCATTGAGGGCACCCTTGGGCGGGGGACTAGAGTGGGAGCTAGGAGGCCCACAGTCTCCAGGGGGAATCAGGTGTGGACACAAGCAGCTACAACACACACATACACATACGAGGGGCATGGTGCAGTGATCTAGACTGTGGAGCTGGGAGAGTCCTGCCTCGGGTCCAGCTCCGCCTTGGGATCCCTATGGGATCTGGGTGAGCTGGTCCCCCTTTAGGCCCCGTTTCCTCATCTGTTCAAAGGACTTATGAACACTACCCCATTTCACAGGCGGTTGCATAGATGAGGTTAAAATCAGATTATGAATGAAGATTAAAATAGCATAATGAAGGAGGAGATACTTTTGTAAAGGAAAAAAAGGTATGCAAAGTGAGTTGTTAAAGCCCTACACACTAGGAAGTAAGAAATGCCACCAGAAAGAGAGCATCACCAGTGATTGTTTACAGGCAGCTCTAACTTTGAATTGAGAACAAGAGTATAAATATCATGGGAAAGGTGGCACGTAGGTAGAATCTGGAAATAGGGAGGTGAGCCTTCCAGGTGGAGGGAATGGTATGTGCAGGAAGCCTGGGACGGAGCAGGCTGTGTTTATGGGGCTGGAGTTAGGAGTGTGGAGGGAAGCAATGGAAGGTGAGGTTGGAAGAGAAGGTGAGCTGACTTTGGGGTTGAGCTCGATTTGCAGCCCACAGGCAAACCAGGGCGACTGAGTGAGGTGATAAGCTAAGCCGTACATCTTCTAGAGAGAGCTGTGGGAAGTGCCATGATCTGAATTTCCTTTGGGATCTGGCAGGAGTGGCTGGAAAGTGGGGACAAACAAGACAAAGACAATCCAGTTGCTAAAAAAATAAAAATAAAAATAAATGGTTAAGGATATCAATGGGCCATTCACAAAAGAGGGAATCTAAATGGCCAAAAATATGAAAAGTTCAGCCTGACCAGTCATGTGAGACATGCAAACGAAAAGAGCTGGGCTACACCATTTCATATCCACCGGACAGGCAGAGTGAGAAGTCTGTCATCGTGGGGTGAGTGGTGGGGTGTTAAGCACCTGGCACGGGTGGAACCCTAATACACCACTGATGGGGACGTAAGTGTCTCCCGCTACATGGGACAGGTGTTGACTACCTCTAATAAAGTCCAAGATGCCCATATCTGCCATGCAGTGACCCTACTCCACTCACTCTGCCTATAATGCTGAAAACTTAGACCTTAATTAATTGTCCATCCACAGCCGTCCAGATAGATAAATCGTGATCTGTTCATACAATGGAATGATATACGGGTGTAAAAATAAACCAAGGCTATCAGCTTCAACACAGATATTTTCTAGAATAAAAAAAAGAAAAAACCAGCATCAAGTTAGTTGTGGAATAGGTGCAGTGTGATATAAAAAGGTTTTTAGAAACACTCAAAACATTCAACATATATATATACATATATACATGTATATATATATATAGACACAGTCAGGTACAGAGTGTCAAAATGTGTGCGGGAAATCAAAGTCACTGAATTTACACTAGCGGTTACCTCTGGGAGGGAGAGTTGGGAATGAGATCAGAAAGAGACCCACAGGAGATTTAATTCTATCTGTGGTGATTTATTTCTTAGGAAATTAAAAATATCTGAAGCAAACACGGCAGAGGCTCAAGATTTGACAGAGCTGGGTGGCCAGTCCATAGCTGTTCTCTGCAATCCTTCTCCTTCTCAAGCCTGAAACTTTTTCTCTATTTTCTGTATGTTTAAAATATTTGGAAATTTATTTGTTTTTAGTAATCTATACCCAACATGGGGCTCAAACTCAGGACCCCGAGATCATCGCAGACTCTTCCAACTGAGCCAGCCAGGCACCCTTGAAATATCTGGT